AGTGGTTTGGTGAGCAAATCGGCAAGCTGAGAAGACGTAGGAAGATGCCGAACAACCAACTGCTTAGACTGGACCAACTGACGCACGAAATGAAAATCCAAGGCAAGGTGTTTCATACGCGAGTGGAACACCGGATTTGAGCTGAAATGGACAGCACCTAGGTTGTCACAAAAAACAGTCGGAGGCGCGGCAAGTGGCTGGTGAAGCTCGGTGAGCAGATTGCGTAGCCACTGAGCCTCTGAAGTAGCCAGGGCTAGCCCACGGTACTCAGCTTCAGTACTAGAACGTGCAACAGTCCGTTGCTTCTTGAACTTCCAGGAAACGAGAGTATCACCGAGGTAAATCAAGAAGCCAGACGTAGATGTGCGATCATCAGGGTCACCAGCCCAGTCAGAGTCAGAAAACACACGATGAGAAAGAGGCAGCTGAGTCCGAGTAATACGTAGACCGAGTGTCCGAGTACCAACAACATACCGGAGCAAGCGCTTAACATACTGCCAATGCACAGTCGTGGGTGCATGCATAAACTGAGAAAGCCGATTCACTGCAAACGCAACATCAGGTCGAGTGGTGACAAGGTACTGCAAGGCACCAACAGCCTGACGATAAAGAGTGGCATCGGCCGAGGAGGACCCATCAGAGAGACGTAGTCGAGCAGTAGAGGACAGTGGAGTAGAGCACGGATTGGCCTCATGCATCTGTGAGCAAGTGAACAACATACTTATGCTGAGATAGAAGAAAACCTGTGGCCGTGGGAAGCACCTCGATCCCAAGAAAAAAATTGACGAGGCCAAGATGCTTAAGAGAGAACCGATCAGCGAGTTGTCGACAGAAGGAAGCAAGGAAGCGAGAGTCATTGCTGGTGAGAAGCAGGTCATCAACATACATCAAGAAATAAGCAAGGACACCACCACGGCAATAGACAAACAGGGACGCATCAGAGCTAGACTTCACAAATCCACACTGAAGGAGAAAGGAACTCAACGCATCATACCATGCACGTGGAGCCTGACGGAGACCATAAATTGCTTTGCGAAGGCGACAGACATGGTGAGGGAACTGCGGGTCATGAAAGCCTGGCGGCTGAGACATATAAACCTCCTCCTGTAGCGGTCCTTGAAGGAACGCATTATGAACATCAAACTAAAATATAGGCCAGGAGTGAGAAAGAGCAATGGTGAAGACTGTCCGAATAGTCACTGGCTTCAGAACAGGGCTATAGGTATCGTGAAAGTCAACTCTCGGACGTTGATGAAAGCCTTTAGCCACTAGTCGAGCGCGGAACCGCTCAATAGACCCATCTGGACGAAATTTAACACGAAACACCCACCGACACCCAACCACATTGAAATGAGGCTGGCGCGGGAGAAGATCCCAAGTATAGTTCGCACAAAGGGCCGAGTTTTCAGAAGCCATGGCCCGTCGCCACTCAATATATCGAAGTGCTTCCTTCACAGATTTAGGCTCTAGAGGGGGAATAGAGGGGTCCTGCAACTGTGTCACATTAGCATACTTAGGATTAGGCTTCCTTATATTGTTCTTACCACGGATGACCATAGGATGTGGCGACGGATCGGGCCGAGTGGTAGGGACTGGCTGAGATGAAGTGGTCACAGGAGGTGACGAGGAAGACCCAGCTGGCGTGCCCATCTCGGTGGCTGTGTGTGAAGGCGAGGGAGGCTGCTGTGCCGAGGAGGAAGAGGCAGGTAGTGGTCCGAGCTGGAAGGGCACAACAGAGACGGCTGGAAGAAACGCCGCGAGCTAGGAAGAAGGAGACGAAACCGAGGAGGCTAAGCTCGACACCGAGGAGGAAGTGACACCTGGGAACTCTGTTTCAACGAAAACAACATGATGAGACAAGAACAGACGTTGAGTGGAGGGGTCAAGACAGCGGTAGGCACTCTTTTGGTGAGAGCAGCCGAGGAAAACACAAGGACGGGACCGAGACTGAAGTTTGTGGGCTGAATAGGGCCAAAGCCAAGGGTAGCAACGACAACCAAAGATACGTAATTTAGAATAATTAGGGGACTCATTAAAGAGGACAGTGAAAGGAACTTGACCACGCAAAGAAGACGAGGGAAGACTATTAATGAGATACACAACAGTGGAAAAGGCATAGGACCAGTAATTGAGGGGAAGATGAGCACGGTGCAGTAGAGTAAGACCGGTTTCGACAATATGGCGATGCTTATGCTCCGAGAGACCATTATGCTCAGGAGTGTAGGGAGGGGTTAAAAGATGTGTTATTCCATGAGCAGTCAACTCGTGGCGTAGTTTTTGAAACTCGCTTCCCCATCGGTGTAAAGCCGCCGAATAGTAGTGGAAAAATAGTTTTCAACAAGGCGTTTGAAGGCAACAAAAACAGAGAGGACATCAGACTTGCGGTGAAGTGGGTATAGCCAAGTATAGCGAATAAAGTGATCGACGAGAACAAGATAATAAGAATAACCATCGACTGAATTAACAGGGGCAGGACCCCAAACATCCGAAAACAACAAGTCCAAAGGACGAGAACTGGTAAGACTCGACATACTAAAAGGAAGTTTATGACTTTTAGAACAAAGACATGAATCGCATGAAGAGAGAGCCGACTTAAGAACAAGAAGTGAATTAACACGAAGAAGACTAGACATGGCCCGAGCAGACGGATGACCTAGACGACAGTGCTAGAGATCAGGAGTGTTGCGAGTAGTGACCAGCGCAAACCGAGCAGCTCCAGCACCACCACCGAGCTCATACGTATCACCGTTGTTCCTTCCGGTCAGCAGCACCGCCCCCGTTCTTAGATCCTTCATAACAAAAGAATGAGCAAAAAATTCAACCGAGACCCCGGTTAGAACGACAAAGCTTAGCGACAGAAAGTAGGTGCTTACGAAAACCAGGCACACACAAAATATTGTCAAGACGCCAAGATAGACCAAACCTGAAGAGAGGAAGAACCAATGTGTGTGATAGCCAAACCTGTACCGTCGCCAAGATAGACCTCGTCAGGACCGTTGTAGTCCGAATAGAGAGCTAAGTTCCCAAGATCATGAGTGACATGATGAGTGGCCGTAGAATCAACAAGCCACGGTTCAGCAGGCGGAGCAGAAGGTCGGGAAGGAGCGGCGCTAGTGGTTGTAGAATTGGCTTGCGGCTGCTTGTGGGGAAAAAGCTGATAACACTGACGAACCGAGTGTCCGGGTTTCTCGCATAATTGGCAAACAACGCGAGCAGGGCGACGTTCGTCATCACCGCGAGAGGAGTCCCATGCGTCAGGCGAAGTGGAGCGAGATGAGGAGGCTGAGCGGCCCGAGCCGCGCCCATCAGGACCACCAAGACGGCCTCGACCACGACCACGTTGAGTGGCGAAAGCAGTGGCTGGAGAGTCGGCGAAGGGTTTCGTGGCGCGGAGATCAGCCTCTAGGGAAATCAGTCGATCAAGTAAATCCTCGAGGGGAGGAATGACCTCTCGAGCAGGAATTGCAGCAGAGAATTCGCGGTAGTCAGGCCCTAGGCCTCGTAGACAAAGCATAACAAGCTCAGCATCAGTAACAGGAGCCCTAGCAAGAGCAAGCTCCGTAGCGTGGGTGCGGAGCTGCTGAACAAACGAGACCACATCTCGATCGCCCTTAGTTTCAGCGTACAAGCGATCGCGGAGGCTCATGACCCGAGACTGCGACGAACCGTCATAAAGCCGCTGGAGGGTCGCCCATGCGACGTGAGAGTTGGCCGCCGAGCTGATGAAGGGAAGCACTCCCTCAAAAACAGACGGAAAAATCCCATTCAACAGGAGTTGGTCCTGACGATACCAACGAGTATAAGAGGGATTGCGAGAAGAGATGCCATCGACTGTGATCATAGCAGCCGGGGCAGGAACGGAGCCATCAAGGTAGCCCATGAGATCAAGGCCAGCCATAAGAGACAGAAGCTAAGCACGCCAGGACGGAAAGTTGTTGGCAGTGAGCTTCAGCAGAAGAGAGGCGGCTGGATTGAACGTAACCAGAGGAGCCTCTCCACTGACGCCACCAGAGGCGAAATCACCAGAAGAAGCAGTGCTAAGCCCAGACATCGGAGCAGACAGAGAGAGGCACGGCAGAAGAGGAACGTGAACTTCGGCCGAAAAAAAAAGGTTTTAGGGTTGGAAAGCCAGCTCTGATACCATGTAAGGTTTGGGTAAATCGTGTGTAATATTATTGAGAGAGGGGGTATTTATACCTATGAATACAAGAGACACAATACAACAAGGACTAGGAGTAAGTAACTTATGGTACAAGTAAACACACATAATTTATCCCTAATATTAACCGCTGAACCTTAAATGTATGATTTAGATTGATATTTGGTTCGATTTTGACAATAATTTTTGTCTTTACTCATTTTGGGTAAATAGTCAATAATTGTGTGGCTTTGTGCCTTGTGGAAGGCTGGGATTGGGGAAAGCATTTTATTGGGCTTGGAGTCCGCAAAGTTTGAGCCTAACAAAACCACCAACCACTGTACAGAATGGGCTTCAATTAACTTATCCTCGGGTCAGCCAGACGCCCAGACCCTTGCCAAAAGAGCATCATCCAACTTTGTTTGCGTTGTTACTCCAAATTCTTTCATTTGATCATATTAAGCTACGGCCTCATATTTATTAAGCTTTTACTCTATCGAAATGCATCACAATTTTGACCTGATCCATTTTCCTTGACCTAATGAAAATTGTATTTATTTTTAACCCTCCCATTTTCCATTCAGTCTTTGTTTAAAATATGAACAGTATAGGACATATGTCTAAGACCATTTTTGCTGGATGTGGTGCTCTGGGCTAAGCCATCTGCTAGGAAATTAAAATGAGTCCTGCCACAAAAATGTCCATGTTACTCCATTTCTTCACTGTCCAGTGTCATTACTCATTTACCTTAAACCCTGAACCAGAATGCCAAAATTTCCACAAAAACAACGAGAACCTCGACTAGCTACCGTCTGACAAACATCCATAAATTAATAAAATATTAACGAACACTAATCAACATTTAGCATGCATCCCCAGAAAACTGCGCCCCTCCTTTCCCTTCATACGCCTTCACGTTCAACAACTCAATCTTCCCCGCTCCCAAATCTCCTCCGCCACCGTCTCCGCTCTCCACCTCCACCTCTCTCCCCCCACCACCGCCGCCGCCGCCGCCGTCGTTCTCCGTCACGTACCGACTCGCAACGAAATGGAAGTAAACAAAGTTCAAAACCCCCAACCCAGCAAGGCTATAGTAGTAATAATCCAACCTATGCTCATTCAAATCATGCCCACCGAGCCACGGCGTCCGCCCGCCGCCCGCCGTCGCCTTGCGAACTACGTTAACCACCGCCGAGTTCACATAATTCGACGCCGACAGGCACAGAAAGAAGAACGCTCCCGCCAACGTCCTCATATTCTCCGGCATCCTCGTTGTGAAGAACTCCATCACCGCAACAGCAGCAAACGCCTCTGTTATCCCCAGCAAGACAAACTGCGGCATCAAGATCGCGAAGCTCTCCGGGGAAACGAATTCCCCGATTCTCACCGCCGATTCCCTCCTCTTCCTCTCCACATTCGCCGCCACCACCATCGCCGCGATCGACATCGCGATCCCGACCCGGATCCGCTTCGCGATCGTCAGCCTCTGGGATTCCCCTGTTATTCTCCTCGCCAGAGGCATCAGCAATCTTTCGTACGTTAAAATCCACGTCGCCAGAGTCACCATCGACGTTAGCGTCATCCAACCGGGTGGAACCCGGAAGGTTTTTCCGATGGATCGGTCGATTTGAATCGCTTGCAGGACTCCGAACGCCGACTGCTGCTCCATCGGCATGAAGCAGAGGACCCCCGATACCCATACTGGAAACGTTGCCGCCAATCGCTTCAATCCTTCAACCTGCTGTAATGTGCACAATCTCCATGGATTCTTCGCCTTCCCCTGTTCATCGATCTCCGACGGATCGACGATTATCGCCGCCTTGTCGAGACACCTCATTCTTGTCGTTCGTAACAGCTTGGAATTGTTGGGGGCAGAGTATTCCCCTGTTTTTTCCTCTGTTTTTTCCCCTGTTTTTTCTTCGTCGTGGTTGTTGTCGATTGGGTCGTGGAAGTGGGTCTGGGAGTCGGGCCGGGTTTTGATTTTCCTTTTCCTGAACGCGGCGGTGATGACGCGGACCATGTCGGAGAAGGGGCTGCCGTCAGGGGACTTGAGGATGTAGGTTTTGTGGCCGATTAAGAAGAGGGAGATGGAGAAGATGAGGCAGGCGGTGGGGATGGCGAAGCCGACGACCCAGCTGACTTCGGTCTGGATGTAGACGACGGCGGTGAGGGCGACGGCGAGGGAGACGGAGAAGCAGAAGTACCACCAGTTGAAGAAGCATTCAAGCTGGGACCTTCCCTTGGGGGTTCGGGTGTCGAATTGGTCGGCGCCGAATGCGATGTTGCAGGGTCGGATCCCGCCGGCGCCGACGGCGAGGAGGGTCAGCGCTGCGAAGAGGACGCACAGCTGCCATCCTTCGGCTTCCTTGCAGTTTTGGGAGGTTTTTGTGCACGGCGGCGGCCGGAGTTGGGGTACGGCTGCGATTAGTGTCATAACCCCCATGCCCTGGAATCAAAATTAATAGTTTCATTAACCAAATTGTGAAATGAATAAAACAAATATTGATGTGATTTATCAAAATTATTGATGTAAGTCTCACCCAAAAAAATTATGGATGTAAATATAACACAATTTCTAAAATATTGCAGGAAAAATGTTGTGTATGTAATAGATTACCAATATGTTAAATTTGGTAAAATATAAAATGGGAAGTTGGAAGATTATGAACTAATCAGTTTACTTTGTTAATAAATAAATTATTTAGTCGTAATAATTCGAGTTATTAAAAACGGTTTCAATACGAATTTTATATGCCCTTATACGAAAGGATATTTATGAATTTGAAGTTTGGACAAGTTGCACATATATATAAATTTATGTGCTAAATCAATGTTAATTAATAATTAGTAGTTTTGGTTGTCATGAGGATTTGAAGACTAAATCGCTCGGGTCCAATACCATATTCATGAACAATTTTCATTAGTTTAGCAAACTTTACATTTAGTAGCAAAATTATGGATGTTCATGTAACTCATGGGTCATGATAATTCTTTTTAATTAATCGAATGCATAAGAAAGTACCTATTAGAAATGGCCAATTAGGCTTTCTTGCGTTAGCTCAAATTATTAGTTGGAGTAGTCAAATTCCGATCGGCGGTGGATTATAAAAACCGTATCGAACGTTGTACAGGAAAAATCAGTCATAGCGTAGTTAATGTTGAAATCGTGGTTTAGCCATTTTATACGATTAAAAATCACCTATCGATTTAGACTCCGATAAAAAAAAAATTCTCAAATGGATATACCAGTACAATAAGGTTTCACAAACACACTTTCAATTCGGTTCATATATGTTCAAATTGATAGATCGAGAGAGCAATAGCTAGTGTTATTATTACTGGATGGAAATTTATGATATAAATAAATTACCAGAAAAGAGGAAATGCTGCCGTAGAGAAGGGTACGGAATTTGCCGAGATAGGCGTCGGCGAGGAAAGCGCCGGCCAAGGAAGCGATGTTGGAGGAGCCGGCCCAGACGGTGGTGACGGTGAAGTTGAACACCGCTCCCATGTTGTACTGGCTCTGCAGGTACAGCGTCATGTTCGCGATCAAGCTCATCGATGCCAACTTCTCGAATGACTCATTCCCTGCATACAAACCCATATGTCGTCGTTATACGATCTTTCAAGTTTAGAATCCTATACATCGATATTAACTCACGTATACAGATATCAGTCAACTCAAAGTTCATTAGATATTACGTGCTTCGCGATGTCTAGATCAGGAACAAAGCAACGTAAAGGAGTGGAAAAGAGAAAGAAAAGAAGGTGGAAAGACCTAAGAGGAACTTAATGGCTGTCCAGCCTCCTTTCTTCTTGAGGGGAGATGACGGCGGCAAGGAGGAGGCGGGTGAAGGAGGTGGCGGCGGAGATGAAGAAGAACGATCTTCCGGCGGCGGCGCCATATCTGGAAGGAATATTTTGTACTACGTACTTACTGCTAGTTTGGTATAGAGAAAAAAAAAAGAGTGGAGATGGAGAGGTGAAAAGTAAATAAGAGAGGAGTTGTTGTTTTTTCCCCCGTTGAATGAGAGAATCAGTTGAGATTTTTTTTCCCCCAACAATGTTTCAATATTCACTGTACTGTTACGAAAGTTCTTGAAACACCTTTGACGTTGGCTTGTTGTTACGTTATCGTTAGCTTGCTTAACCATTTCTATCTCTTTTCCATGAAAAACTCGTATTATTGTTTTTGGTGGTTTGAAATTCAGGATGAAGTTGGATAGTACCGGCGGCTAGCTAATTGTATTTCTCATATTGTAATTATGGATTAATTATACACTAGCAGGAAAGCCCACGCAGGTAGGTGTGGGCGTGTGGCGTGAATTTAGTAATTTGAGATCATAATAAATAGGTGAAGAGGAGTGACATAATCGATTTATCACATAATAGTTTGAACAAAATTCACACCATATCCTATCCAACCGTTAATTAAAAAACATGTACAATTCTCTCTACATCAAAACTCGTTAGCATTGGGTTCAACTCGTTTTGACTCTTATGAGTCCAATAAGGTTTAATAACTATGAGTTTGGGTTCAATTGTCATAGAGAAAATAGAACGAAAATTTAAATTGCACTAAATTTTTAATTAAGCAGGCTGAGTTTTTAACAAAATGCACACCCGACCCAACCCGTTAATTACAAAATTGGGTAAAATCTTTCTCGAACCGAAATTTGTTAACATCGGATTCAACTTGCTTTGACACATGTTGATTGTTTAGTTTATCAGGTGCAAATAAGATGGAAAGCGGATACATTTTTTTAACAAAATCCAAGACCGAAATTTCTAGTGATTTGAATATTAGGAATACTGGCCTTCCAAACCCCTATTTTATAAGAGTGTCAAACTTGCACATGAAACAAAACTTGTCAACTCTGAATTCAACCCTGACTCACTCCTACTGTCACCCTAGAAAATGGCCAAGTATAACCACTTCCTAAAGCGTAGTATAGCGGGTCGGGTTTTAATGTCAACCCAGGTCCTAGATGTGATGACTACTCGGTGAATTCTTGTTATTTAGCGGTGAACTTTTAGTGAAACTCAAGCAAACAAAACACAAAGCAAGTAAACGGTTTGTTGTCAAGTCAAGAGAGGTCACCCGGATATGGTTTCCCCCTAGACTGCAGTTAAGTCGGATTGCATTTTACCAAGTTCAGTTTTCATGAAAGTTATACTGCGGAAGGTTCTCAATTAGCCTGAAGTCTCGACTAAAGGTCTCCAGACCCTCTCAATCTGAGTCTCTAGCGGGCGACTAACCTCCACCGGAGTAAACAGATTGAGGCCCTAATGAACCAAACCTCCACTACCGAATCGACTTCGGTACAGAATAGCGAATTGGCTCCTCGACTAAAGTCACCAATTCGCTACCTTCGATTAAGGGTACTCTATCAACCTAGGCAGATATTCTCATTCCAGGTTAAAGCAGAAACAACAGGAATTTGATCAGGATTCAAGTCATTCAATCAATCAAACCTCAATCGAATATAATCAATTCACAAACACTGTACTTGGGTTCATACAATCAGACCTAGCATACAAATCTAGGGTTCTCCATACCCAGATGAATGGGGAAACTACTCCATAGAGAAAGAAGCAAAAGCAGATTCAGACACGGAAATCATACTGTGAAGTTGGATTCCTGCTTCTGGACGTTTAATCGCACTTCTCCAAGCTCAAGACGGGCTCCAATGGTGTTGAAGATCGATCTATGGCGCTTGAGAACTCTGGTTCGACGCTTTCTCTCTCTAGGTATCGGTTTCTCTCTCAAAAACTCGGAACCCTTTGAAAATTGGCCTTCTTCTTGTTTTATCAGCTGCCTGTCGCGATACCCGGTCAAAATACCCGGTCGGGTATTTTATGGTTCGACCGGGTATTTTATGAAACGCACCGTCTGACTAAGGGAAAAATACCCGGTCTACCACCAAAATCCCCGACCGGGGATTTATCGCCATCGCCCGGGCCCCCTTCTGCTTCTCACGGGTGCCCGAAGGAGGAAATACCCGGTCGAGGTCAGAATATACCCGGTCGGGTATTTCTTCCTTTGACCGGGTATTTTGGTCCAGCAGCATCCTTTGTCCAATCTTCGCTCCTTTCGATCCAGAACTCGTTCCTTCGCCTCGATTCCAACGCCAGGACCTGAAATATGACATAAACACACAACCTAGCGTAAAATCGGCTTAAAATACGAGATTCCTCATCACAAACGACTTCAGAATAGGGGTGAAAACATGTATGATTATCGGTCTATCAAACTCCCCCACACTTAACCGTTTGCTTGTCCCCAAGCAAACCAAGTCAGACACTAGGTAAGCTTACATATTTCAATCAACCAACACTGGGGACAAGTCATAAAGGCACAAAACACGTGAATCGCACTGGTTTTCAAACATCAATACATGCACAACCTCAATGACAACCTGGACAACCACCACAAAGGACATTCGAATGCAGCAAATCGAGTAAAGGAAGAGTCTCTCGTCTGTTCACTAGCCAACCTAGACTTGATTCAACCGCCTACTCAAAACAGTCAACTCATGCATCCAACTCAAAACATCAGAATAGAGACCGAGCAATCTAGGTCCTCACCGGGGTACAAGAGCATATAGAGAATGGAAATGAATCGCTCACTCTCGACCAGTGGGGTCAGGACATTTTTTGATGCGAAAGATGCGCATGCTATTTCTCTCAATCCCTATCATCTCTTCACCATGATGGCAGCCTCTAAATGCTAGAGTTCACATATGGGGTGTCACCACTAACTAATCAGGAGGTCTTAGACACAGGTTCAAATGACTGGCTAGGGTCTTGGACATGGGGAAAAGGCCTTTAGGTGGTGGAAGTATTCATAGCAAAAAGGTTCCACATTTTCCAAACACACCATCACAGTCAAACAACCCGGTATTTTCTTTCTGCTATTCTGCATTACTCAATATCTTAAGAGCACAAGAGTGAAGGAGGCATAATCATCAGCATTTCCAAGCCAGACTGCTAAGAGACACTGCTTACTGGGCATTATTCAGATTTTTGGTAGTGGCTCTCTTTTACTTTCATTTTTTTCTTTGTTTTTCTTTCATTTTTCTTTTCATTTCTTAAGAGAACCACCACTTCTGCATAAATTTCAAACACCTGCCCAATTTTTAAGCACTACCTCCGACACTCACATAGACTTTAGCAGAAACAGCAGAGAATATATAAAACCACTCTGTGGAACCTTCTAAAAGATGCAACAAGGGTGATTTTTCCATTATAGACCAAAAGAAAGGATAACACACGGCTCAAAGGGCTGACTAGGGGATATGACACATCAGGACAGTCAGTACTGGGCGTGGGCTAATCCTATGCCCCCATCATCTTAGCTAGTGACAACGTGAATGCTACACATCATGGAAGAGGGATCTATCGCACAAGAAAGAAACGAGCAGGCTCAAATCTCACATGGCTACCTATATGCTCTATCTCACATTCTGATACCCTGAACTAGATGCATAAACGACTGTCAAGGATAAGTAATCAGATCAAGTCAGATCAAGTCACAGTTGGCAAGCAAACAGTTGAAAAACTGAACCCCTACATCGTTCTACTGCACATCTCAGTCCTCATCATAGGTTGTCCTAGTCGCAAACAAGTTGTCATGCATTAATCCGAAAACCAATCAATTCATCCATCAAAACACAGTGCCAATATGATCAAACAGCAGCACTCGGAGCCCTCAAATCGTAAGATTTGGATAGTGGACTAGGCTCCAAGCACACAAACAGAGCTAATGCAGTCAAAAGATAAACATCCCCCCCACACTTAAGATCGACATTGCCCTCAATGGAGAAGAGGGAAGGAAAGGGGAACGATATTACCGGGATGCACGGACGGCAGAGGACTGGAAATGGACCAGTCGGGAACACAGCACAGCTCAAGGGGAACAGAAGAGCTCAACCAGAATATGTTAGGTCCGATGTCAGCCCAATAAGACATCATCCAGAACAAATGAAACAAACCAAAACAAAACCAAATCGCAATCCGACTCGAAACATAAGAAAGAAAGTCAAACCGTGGTGGGGTTGCCTCCCCACCAGCGCTTCTTTACCGTCTTTTAGCTGGACGCCCATGGTGGATACTCAGGGAAGTGCAGGATCAGGTGCCTCCAAGAGCGGATCCACATCGCTCTTGAGGTACAGCTTCAGGTGGTGACCGTGCACCCGACGGTTGCAACCACCAGCAGTGGTCAGCTCGACCTGGCCATCCGGCAAGATGCAGGCGAGTGAGTACTCGGATGGCCAGGGTGGTCGCGGTGCAGGGGGTGGGACCAGCTCATAGTGGTCTCCACCTTTCTTCCGTGCAGGCTTAGCCACTTGCGGCTTCGGCCGCCACTCCTCCTTGAGCTTTTTGTTCGAAGGCGAGGCTGGATGGAGTGGCGGCGGAGGAATGATAGGCGGGTCCTGCAAAATGAGAGGTGCAGAAGGATACACGACAGGCTCGTGTATCTTGTCAGAAATAGCATGCACAGGCGATACAGAAATCATAGCACAATGATCAGACTCAGTCACAGGAAAAACAGCCTGTTCATTTCCAGCACGCAAGATCAGTTTACCATCATGCACATCAATCAGTGCCTTGGCGGTGGCAAGAAATGGTCTACCTAGAATCAAAGGCACATCCACATCATCATTTATATCCAGAATAACAAAATCAACAGGATATGTGAATGCACCCACATTAACAAGCAAATCTTCTATGATACCCCTAGGATGCACCACAGAACGATCAGCTAGCTGAATGCTCATCCTAGTAGGGCTAAGTTCACCTAGGTCTAGCTTTTTGAACAATTTGTATGGCATGACATTAATGCTAGCGCCTAGGTCCGCCAAGGACTTTCCTACATGCATGCTGCCAATAGTAAGAGGGATAG